ACAACCATGCCCACCCCTAATCACACTGGAAATATTTCCTGCCATTTTCAGTAAGACACATTCCTTATTTTGAAGAGCTGAGACTTTGGGGCACAACCAGTTTCCAGTGAGCAAAACTCCAAGTGCAAACTCGGATCCTTGCACAACACACATACAACCTGTGAAAGGAGACAGAAACAATCAGACAAATGCAATGTTACTAGCATCAGCCAGCTTACAAGTACCCACTCCAACTTAAGTGGGTGCAAACCAATCTCATTTCCACTATCTCAGCCCAGGTACTGTTATTACCCAGCTGGTTTTCTCCATGAGAGCTCTCACAAAAACAAACAAACAAAAAAATGAGAGCTCTCACAAAAAAGAACTGAGGACGTTTCATGAGACAGAGACCCAAAGAATCACAGCTGACATTCAGTTACTAGAGCCAACATATGCGTGGAGATTCAAAGCTTCATGTATGCAATTTTACTACCCATCTTTGCTGCCATCTGTATCTTTCTGAGGCAACAGCAATATCAACATTAAATATTTTTAATGCTGCTGTTTACCATCCCTGGAGGTCTTCAGGAAACGTGGAGATGTAGAACTTGTTAGCACGGTTTAGTGGTGTACTTTAATGCTAGGTTAAAGGTTGGACTAGATGATCTTACAGGTCTTTTCCAGCCTGAATCATTCTGATTCTATGATTATCACTATAAACTGCATTATTGTGAGGTCTGGCAGCACCACCCATGCAGCTGGGCTCCACAGCTGGGCACCATACAAACTCCAGACAAAAAGACTGTCCTAGTCCCCAGACCTTAGCTCTAATCGCCATATGAAAGACATAACCCGTGTGGCCATGTATGCTGAGAAATGGTGAGACGATGCTGGTCGATCCCATATTGGTCATCAGCCCTTCCCTTCTGAAAGCGAAGCTGCAGCTGCTCCTCACAAGGTTGCAGTAGATACCAAGAAATTTTACAGTCTTTCATGGAGCTGTGAGTAGATAATGGCGTGGGCTGACTTCTGGAGCCAGAAAGGCTTTGCTAACAGTTTGCATTCTCATATTTTTTTCAGTGAAAGCTTAAATCCAGTGAGGAAGTTTATTCCTTGTTCTGTCTCGCTGCCTCTCACTGCCTTTATGCAGTAGTCTGCTGACTTACCAGAATGTGAAATCAGTCTTCAGCTTTTCAAGTCTATATTTATGAAAGGCAGCAGTAGTAATATGGATTAATAATGCAATAAGAATTCATAAACATTTTGAGGGATGAATGCATTTCGTAATTACAACTTTCCAAGTCATCAGTTTTATTCTGAAAAATATTCAGCACACAGAGTAAGAATACAGAAACATACCCTGGGCATATGGGCATGGTTGTTTGGGAAGCCAAAGCTCTGCAGTTGTTGGAACTGGCAGAGGATGTTAATGGCAAGCAGAGCAGCTTCTTTTCTTTACAGTATCACTGAAAGAATAAAGAGGAAGAGGTGAGACCTCTGCTGAAAAGGAATAGGTGACCTACTGACAACTGACACAGCCAAGGCTGAGGTATTTCATCCCTTCTTTGCCTTGATTTTCACCAGCAAAGTCTTATAGCCCTTTGTGTCTCACAGAGAAGAGGATCTGGCAGAAGCAGAAAAGAACTGAGTCAGGGATCTCTTGAGGAACCCCAGCCCATGCAAGTCTGGGGGCCCTGCTGGGATGCATCTGAGGGTGCTCAGGGAGCTGGCTGATGTCATGGCAAGACCACTTGTTATCATCTTTGAAAGGTCATGGAGATTTGGAGAGGTACCCAGTGGTGAGAAAAAGCTAAGCATTGCACCCATGTTCAAAAAGAGCAAGGACAATCCAAGAGGCCACAGACTGGTGACCTCCCACAGCTTCCTTGTCGGAACAATTAGATAAGAGAAAAAATGTTTGGATCATATTTATGAGTGGTTTATACTCTACCTTGGAGCTAGGTTTAAAGTGTAGATCTTCAAAAGCCTGTCTTGGGACCTGTCCTGTTTAATATCTGTATCAATAGCCTGGAGGAGAGAGAGTGCACTCTCATTCAGTACATGGACAACATCGAATCAGGGCATATAGCCAACAGGACTGCATAGCCAACAGGACTGCCATTCAGGTGGACTTAGACAAGGCTAAAACAGCATTCTTGTGAAAGTCAGCAAGGACAGAGGCACTTGGTGCGGGCTAACCCCCTGTTTTTTTATGGGCTAGGCACTGACAGGCCAGGGAGCAGCTCTGCTGGGATGGACCCAGGTGCCTGGTGGCCAATAGGGCAAACAACAGCAAGTAGCGAGCCCTGGACATGAAGAAGGCTGACAGCATCCTGGGCTGCATCAACAGAAACATAGTAGAGCAAGGGAAGTCATTGCTGCCTTTTACACAGCATTCAGCAGACCGTGTCTAGTTTGGGTGCTCCTGATACAAGGAGGATGCCAATAAACTTCAGCAAATCCTGTGGAGGGCCACCAGGACAGCTGGGAGTTGGAGAATTTGACTGCTGGGGAGATGCTGGAAAAGCCAGACTAGTTCAGCTAGGGGAACCCAATACCAGCCTTCCAGAATGCGCCTCAGAGTCCCTTCTTGGATTATCAAGAAAGTAGAGCTAGGCTCTGCACTGACGTGCAGAGCGAGAGAATAACAGGTGAGGGTCATAAACTGAAACAGGGCTGGATCAACAATGAAAAACAAACAAACAGACAAACAAACAAAAAACAACACTGAGAGTTATTAAGTACTGGATCGGGTTACCGAGAGGTTGTGGAATCCCCATCACTGGTGGTTTTCAAGACCCGCCCAGAAAAGGCACTGACCACCCTTGTCTGAATTCAGTTTGGACCCTGCTTTGAGCAGGAGGTGGGACCGGCGACATCCTGAGGTCCCTTCCAACTTGAATAACACTACGGTGTTATTCAAACTGAGCCTGAATTTTGGATTAAAGACAAGAAAAAAAAATAAACTTTTAAAATTTTGTAGAGATTTTGTAAAGATGTGTATCACTGGTTTTACTAGCAAGCTTGCTGCATGGACAGGCTTTAGAGGAATTACGTTACTGTACAGTCTCCAGTGTTTTTAATCATATAATTACATAATCATTTAGGTTGGAAAAGGCCTCTGAGATCATCAAGTCTAATGGTTAACCTAGTACTGCCAAGTCTACCGCTAAACCATGTCCCAAAGCACCACATCTATACCTACACATCTTTTAAATACAACTAGGGGTGGTGACACAACTACTTCCACGGGAAGTAATCTGGAATTAGAAGGAGATTCTGGACAGAACTTAAAATCAGAATGTGTAAATCTCATTATCATTACACAAGTTTTGGTAGCACTTTTAAAAATAACTGTTTATCAAAATACAAACGTGTTCATCTCAGTAATTAAGGAAGACTGCATTCTGTTTCGACTTCTGAACAAAATCTCTAAAAATAAAGGTGAATTAGAAAATTGGATCATTTTGCTACTCATTATTTCTTCAAAACTTATAGGCATAAAAAAGTGAAGTTGTTTTTTAACCTTACTATTTTTCTTACAAGAGAATTCCTATAACTTTAGTTCCTGGGATTTGATGTTTGACAAAAAGGCATGTCTAAAGTTTAGCTCTTCTAAAACTCTTCTAGTTTTCATGTGAAGACAGAAGAGTTGTTATTTACAGAACTTAAGGCTACACTACAGTGTAACTGATCTATGCACATTTTAACATCACATTCAAAGCTACTCTTCCAGAGGAGAGGTCTTCAAAAGTGTTTGCAGAAGCAGACGGAGTTGATGCTTGATTTAAGTCCTTGCAAGAAGCCAGCACCCAGTCAGCAGCTTTGGCTCTCCTTGTGTTTGACCTTTACAAGGACGGTGACCAAGTATTACGACAGCCTGGTCCTGTCTCTGCAGTGGCCACTGTGTGTTTTGCTAGTGACCTTGGTAAGACGTGTATGGCTGTGCCATGCTAACAACACGTGCTTTGACATAACTAGAGAGGAAATTGCCTGTAGGGCTATGTCTCCCTGTAAAGTCATTGTCTTCCCCTATTTCTTCCCTGGCACAGGACTCTGCAGGTCAGTCACTGAGACACCCTCAGTAAAACACCTCAGGAGAGTGAGAACATGTGAGAGAAGCAGCCCTGCAGCCCCCAGGCGAGTGCAGCAGGAGGGCAGGAGGTGCTCCAGGCAGGCAGCAGCAGTTCCCCTGCGGGCTGTGCAGGGAGAGGCCCCTGGTGGAGCAGGCTGTCCCCCTGCAGCCCATGGGTCCCACATGGAGCAGATCTCCACGCTGCAGCCCCCCATGGGTGGAGGAGCCCCCGGTGGAGCAGGTGGATGTGGCCTGGAGGAGGCTGCGGCCCATGGAGAGCCCCCACAGGAGCAGGCCCCGGGCCGGAGCTGCAACCCGTGGAGAGGAGCCCACGCAGGAGCAGGGGTCTGGGGGGAGCTGCCACCCACCCGTGGGGGGCCCGTGCTGGAGCAGTTTGCTCCCGGGGGACGGACCCCGTGGGACGGAGCCATGTGGGAGCAGTGCTTGAAGAGCTGCTGCCTGTGGGCAGCCCCCCAGGCTCAGTTGGGGAAGGGCGGCGGCATCCATGGGAGGAACCCCATGAGGAGCAAGGGCAGGGAGTGACCGTGAAGGAGTGCTGGAGGTGAAGCCTCAGGGACTGATCACAGCCCCCATTCCCTGTTCCCCTGTGCTGCTCGGGGGTGGGGGACATAGAAGAGGGTGGATTTGGAGAAGGTGATTTCGGTTTGTTTTGAGTTCTCGCTGCTCTGCTGCGCTATTAATTGGCGGCACGTTCAATTAACCTTCCCCAAGAGAAGTCCGTTTTGCCCGTGACGGTGAGCAGCGGGTCATTTTATTTTTATATATATACATATAGATAGATATACACATATATATAGAATCCCAGAGGCCCCGGGGCCGGCTCCGGGCCGCCCCGCTCCCCGTCCCCCTCCGCCGCCCGTCCCCGTCCCCGTCCCCGCCCCGTCCCCGCCCCGCCGGGCGCAGCCCCCGCCCCCTCCGCGGCCCTGCCCGGAGCCTCCGCGCCGATGCCACGTGGGAGGCGGCGGAGCCGCCGTCGGCGCCGGGCCGGAACCGCGGCCCCCCTGCCGCTGGGCACGGCGCTCGCCGGCCGCCGCGAGGAGGGGAGGTCGCGGAGCCCCCGGGACCGCGGCGGGGTGGCCGAGACCCGATGGGTGCTCGGCGCCGTGGCGCCCGGCTCGCGGCTCGGCCTCCCGGGCCTAGAGGCGCTGGCGGCGGCGGCGGGGCCTAGGGGCGGCTCCCCGCCCTGGGCGGCGCCCGCGCTGCTGCCGGTGCCTCCGGCGGCGCAGCCGGCCCCGCGGCGGGAGGGCAGCGACCTGCCCGCCTGCGCGCCCGCCGCCGCCCTGGCCCTGCTGCGCCTGCAGCCCGGCGCCGACGGCGCGGCGAGGGCGGCCGCGGCCGGGGCCGGGGCCGGGGCCGCGCCGCGGCTGCGGACGGTGTACGTGAACCCGCGCTGGCTGGAGCGGCAGGCGGCGCTCGGGGCGGCCGCGGCGGCCGCCAGCCCCTGCGCCGAGGCGGCGGCGAGCGGCGCGGCCGGGGGCCCGGCGGCGGCGGCGGCGGCGCAGGGCGAGGCGGCCCCGGCAGCGGCCCCGGCCCCGGCCCCGGCCCCGGCTCCGGCCCCAGCTCCGGCCCCGGCCCCGACGGCGGAGGCGGCGGCCACCCCCTACGTGGGGCTGCGGCGGCCCCTGGGCTACCAGCTGGCCAAGGCCACCAAGGAGCGCATCTGGCGGGGGGAGTTCATTGACCTGTTTTCCTTGCTCCACACAGAGCTGGCCCCCGAGCACGGCCCGCGGCCGGGGGACACGCTGGACCAGTGGGTCTCCGCCTTCCTGGTGTACGCCAGCGTGGTGTGCGAGAAGCACCCGGCGCGCTGCGGGGCCATGTTCAAGTACCTGGACACCATCCGCAAGCTGCACGCCACCTACGGGGGCACCTCGTGGATGAGCTACGACGAGGACTTTCGGCGGCGGGCGGCCAAGGACCCCAACCTGCCCTGGGGCGACGTCGACCTGGACCTCTGGATGAAGTGGATGGCGCCCCTCAAGTCGCTCATCAGCAGGCACCACCGTGCTGAGAGCGAGCCGCAGGCCGCGCCGCCACCACCGCCGCCGCCACCATCCTCGTCGTCGTCCCAGAGCCCCAAGCAGGAGGAGAAAAGCCAGGTGTGACAGGCCGGCGGCCGCGGCGGTGCGATCCCCTGGCCCCAGTGATGCCCCTGCCGAGGGGAAGAGGAGAAGGGGCGAGGAAAGTGGATGGGCAGTTGGGATGTCTGCAGGCTCCCACGTCACTGCTCCGACCCTGAGCTCGTGCCCACCAAGCATCAATTTGCAAGGCATGGGCCATACCTGCTTGGGCCGCACAAGGTGCCCGGCCAGCTGCTGTGGGAGGTGTGCTGGGGAATTGCTGGATTGCTGGGGAAAAATGCTCCCTGGGCAAATATTGTGTAATGTCTATTGCTCCAGCCATCCGGAGTTAGGAACCCCGGTAATTGCCTCCTGAGGATGCAATGTATCCCTGAGGATATATTGTGTTTCCCTAAAGCCATCAGAAGAAGGGCATTTCTTTTACTTTGTGTTGTCTCTAAAAGATTTAACTTTTAGATTTTAAATTAACTTTGTCAGCTGTACCAGGACACAGAGTACAGACTCTGCTGTTGCTGTAGGAACACTGGGTAGTTGCAGGCTGTGTGGGAGGCCAGGAAAATTGATGTAAGTAATGACAAACTTCAATTTGAACAGCCGCGGCTTGCAAGCTTACTGTGATTCGGAGATTTAATTTATTTTGGGCCTCAGCAGATTTAATCCACGAGTTCTGGCCTGTGTTGTGGGATGCAAATGATTAGGGGAGGCAGGGAAGATTTTGTTCACATTAAGGATTTGCTTTTATTACAGACATCAAGTGCCACTGAGTTGGCATAACCTCGAACATACACAGGCAAATCTACTATTTCCACTGCTTGAGCTGTGACAGCAAGCTCCAGTGGTACAAAGAGAGTTGCCTGTCTATATTTAGGGTTGTACTGGGTTTTGTTTGTTTTATTTTTTGGGGGTATTGTTTTTAATACTGGTGGCTGTAATCTGTCAGATTGCCAGAGCAGAAAATGCTGGGTACTAAATGTTGAGTTTCATGCCAGCTGAACGATGGTTAAAGGGTTCTGTTACATTGTCCATATTTATGTCTTTAAAAAAAAAAAAAAAAAAAAAAAGTAGGTCCATAGGAAGAACCTTTCCATTCCTGAAGGGGTTTTGCTAGCTCATCAGACATTGCACTTCTCAGTTACCTTCAGCAGAGAGGAGTGGCTAAACTGTTGGACTCTTAGTCTGATCTGGAAAGGGAGGACCTTTTTCAGGGGATCTCCAAGTATTCAGCGCATCACCAAACCCTGATTTCTCTACCTGTCAGAATCTCTGGGTCAACCTGCAGACAAAGAATGGAAACAAAGACAGTGTAACGAACGAGTATTGTAGTAGGTCCCAGTGCCAGCCGTGTGGCCTTGGTGCTTTCTGTGGTTGATGTTTTAGATTTACGTTACTTGTTCTGATATCTCTGTTTAGATTTCTCCATTCTCAAGAACAGCAGCTCAGTTTTTATTTTACTACAGATCTTATGTGAGCACCAGATGGAAAATATCTCATATATTTCATCTCATCCGAGACGGATCTTCAGCCTGTAACGTTACCCAGACTTGTAACTTTCATGATAACTGTTGTGACAGTGCAGAGCTTTGGACTGCTGGCTGCTTAGACACCAGAGGTCTCGATCCCCTTTGGTTGTGTGGAAATTTTCCAGTTGATTTTAGTACTGACATTGACTTTTCCTCTCATCTGAAGAACCAATCAGAAGCTGTGGAAAGAAAAATTCAACGTGTTTATTTTAGCTAAATAGTTTATAAAACGCCCAAATTAGCTTAGTGGTTTGTTTGAACATAGAAACTGCAGTGCTAATAACAGCGTGATGGGAAGTAAAAGCTGTATAACCATTAAGTGTGGATTCAGCTACCTGTCTGTTATTAGAGCACTTCTTAATTGGTAGCACATACTAATTTATAACTGCTCAAGGAAGAAGAACATCCTTAACTGAAACAATCATCTGAGCAGCTGTTAAATGTAGATGACGCTTAGGATAAAGCATGAGCTTATCATTGGCAAGGCAGCAGCAGGGAAATGTTGACCTGAGGGTTTCCCCCTCACCCAGTCTCAGCTCCTGACAAGCTCCAACTGTAAAACTGCTTCAGAGAAGTAAAAGGTTGTGGCTTTGCATTTGGGCAAAAAAATCAGAGAATTCAAATGGGAGAGAATAGGCCTTGATAGACAACAGGCTTTGACCAGAACCTGAGCGTTTTCACCTTCGTACTATTGAGAAGTTTTACAGAGACCTTTTCTCCCAGATTGTTTGCTTGAAATGATGTTTGTTTTCATTTCAGAGGACAGCATTGGGCAGCCTGACTCTATTTATAATTTCCCCTTTCAGTAGATTCGTACATGTCAGTTTGTTGCAGTGCCTGTATCTCTCCAGTTCTGCACCGAAGGTTAACCAGTAAAAACAAAGTCAAAGGCAATAAAGGGACGTGTTTGAGGCTAACCCTCCGTTCTAGGGAGACAGTAGAGAGGTATAAGCTTGCTTTAGCTTAGGGAAGTGAGAAACCTCAGCTTTGTTTGAAGGCAGTAATTGGTATAGCTGAGATTCGTTCCTGCATGTGAGTTAACTTTGGACAATTCTCAGTTTATTTTTTTTTTTTATTTCAGACTCCATGAAAACAGAAGGCCAGTTGGAATGGCAGTCAGACTAAGTGGGTGAGTTTATGTATAAAACTGACTAACTTTGGATTTTAAATATTTACAGATTTGTTAAATACAGAATTTCTTATTGGTGCCAACAGCCTGACTCCGTTGGTGTTTAAGTGGAGCTCTGGTATTCTAGTGCATTCTTTTACCTCTGCTTCTGTTGCGTTGCAAGCTGTGCTAGAGAAGACGTAGGAAATTCATTTTACCCAATCAGCAATTGTAACAATGGACTACAAACCTGCAGAGCAAGCCAGTTTGCTGGAAAACAGGAATTCCTGCAGCGCAGCACTTGTCACAGACTATCCAAAGAGGGCAAAGATTCAGGAAGGTGAATAAATTGAACATTGGTTGAATGAGGTCAGGAACAGTCTCCCGGAGGAGAACCCTGCCCTAAAATACTACATTGAAAATATAAGCCAATTTAATGCGCAGATTAACCCTTCTCATTTGAGCAAACCTGTGTGCAATCCTGGATCTTTGCAGATCACAACCGGACACTTCAAAAAGAAAAGGAAAAAAAAAAAAGTAAAATAATCTGTGTACTATATTTGCTTAAAAAATAAATCATAACTTGTCTTGTTACAGCTGTTAATTTTACCATTTCATTGAGAATATCTGCAACATAAATGTATATTTGACTTTAAACAGTATCCTACATTTGGTATAACTCAGGTTGTTGACAAAATAATTCTGTGAGGCTCAATACCGCCTCTTCTTTCGTCTCTGAGAAATGGATTAACTGTTGCTGTCATTGCCAGAAGTAATTTATAGCCCAATTGTGCATTACAAAATTCTTGATCAGATAGAACAATTGACCTAAATTATTATTCTATTTTTGTCTTATAGAATGCTTAGGATCCTGAGCATCAGACTTCACTCTTGTGGTCTGGCGTTCATGAAAATCATATTCACTGGTTCATGGTTAAATTATTTTACATCTCAGTATTTTGTTTTCTTTTCCTTTCCCCTTGCATACTAGGGAGTATGATCAAGGTAAAACTATGATCCAGTAAGGCACATGATGGTAAGGGTATGCCTTTAGTTGTTTCAGGAAAAAAAAAAAACAAACTGCCATTATCTGCTCTCCTTTACCTTTCCTTGATAGTTTCAGTAATATGCATAACATGAAGTGTTTGTAAATTGATTTAAAACAAATGTTTGTGACTTCACCTAAATAAATTTTTATATTTAAATACTGTTCTTAATCTTAGTCTTTTTTTCCCCCCTTGCTCGTATATCATCACTTCCCCTTTTGCAATCACGGTTTCCATCACCTGACCTTTTACAGAATTTTTGGTTTTCTACTTAAGAAAGCACAACAGAATCTTAACTATTGACAAGGAACAAATTGGCCTTTGAAGTTGGCTTGCCATGCTTTGTTTTATAAAGACTTGATAATATTCTAACTGTAGTTGTTGTAGTTTTATTTGCCGGTTGTTGAGGCAATGGTAGGAATCAGGCCGTAGTCTACCGGAAAATGTAACAGCTGCTGTGTTGGAATACCAGTATTTTAGTGGGCTCCAGAATGGGAATCTGGTCCACTGAATGCTGAAATTTGTGTTCTATATGGTAGAATATGAAACAATCTTACAGATATAATTACAGACTGTAAGAGTCTTTAATTCTTGAGAAGGTGCTTTAGCTCAGTCAGCAGATCACTTGCATCATTTCACCCTTGTCCTGTTTTCCCAGGAAATCTGAGTTCTGTTACTCACTAGTCTGTGCTACATCTCTTCACCATCGTTGCTACATGCTAATCGCTGCAGGCATCTTCTCCTGAGGAAGTTCAGTAACAGTGGCAGGATCTGGGGAGCAAGTGGGGGCGGAAGGGCACTGGGTGGCAGGAGAAGCAAGGAAGGATGAGCAGACATTGGTCCCTTCTGTCCCAGTGATGAGTTGCACAAGCGTGCGTCTTAACCTCCTGACTCAGAGCAGCAAAGCAGTGACAGTCGTGTTTTTCCTGTCCTGCTTGGGAGCAGCATACCCAGCTGGAGTCTGAAGCACTTCCTAGTGCTTGTTGCTTAGTCCTTCTGCCAAGAATTTGTTGGTTTTGTCTGTTACTCTCTCCAGTCTTCCTACAGTCTGGTGCCCTTCCTGGCACTCTGTCACCTCCCAGTTTCCTGGTTGCCACTGATGCTGGACTGGACCACCCTGTCTTCTGTGTGCTGGAGACATTGCCAGGGCTCTGCCTTGCTCTCCAGTGTTAGTGGCTGCTTTAAAATTGCTGCCTGCTTTTAAGGATACTTGCCATGCAAAGTATTAGCAGTGGTGTTTTTCAGACACACGGGATCTCCCTGCAATACCCCCCACTTTGTTTTAGACCTCCATAAACTTGGCCTTCATCACCGTCTTTGAGCCCCCTGTAATTTCACTGCATGTGCTTGCTCTGGTGTTAATTTTTGCACATGTGCTGCCCTGCTCATTGCTGTGCTGTAAGCTTCTGCATGAAAATTCCTTCTCCCTTAGTTTCTCATTAGAAGTATTTGGCTTCAACAGGTTTCTTCGGTTCCCAGCAACTCGCTACTGCATGGATGCGCGTATGGCATTGGCACTGGGTGAATCCTGCCCTTACAGCTCCTGAGGTTGTCAGTGTCCTTGTTGAGTCAGCGTGCTGGCTGTGCTGAAGGGGTGACGCAGGACCACGGATCTTCTGTTCATCATTGATTCATGAGTAGATTTCTTCTGGTGATTGCAGGCGAAGCTTGCTGTCACTTACATGATACGTCAGACAGCATGGAGGCGCTGATATCTGCTGCCTGAAAGCAGATGTTGAAGATAACCATTTAACTGAGTGACGAGTGAAGACACAGCACACAGTAGGTGAGAGGCTTGGAGGAGAAATGAATCATGATTTTATTACCTGTACACTGTGTTCTGCAGCAGAAATCGCGAATACACATTTTTTAATACTGTTTTTGTAAGTCCCATTACTTAGATAGGATGGGAAGATGTTCTCTCTTCAGTGTTTCTGTATTTCTTATGCTTTGCTCAAAATAAATTATAAAATCACAGAATGGCTTGGGTTGGACCTTCAAGATCATCTAACTCCAACCCCCCTGCCGTGGGCAAGGATGCCTCCCACTAGATCAGGTTGGCTGAGGCCCCATCCAGTCTGGCCTTGAACACCTCCAGGGATGGGGCATCCACAGTTTCTCTCAAGCAGTGTTTGTACAAAATTGCAGTGAAAATGGAAAACTGATGGAATTTCTGGGTGGGAATACTTCTAAAATGTGTGGGAACTGATTTCTTTGGGAGGACCAGCATGTTATAGAAAAATAGTTTTCTGTTAGTTGACTAGAATTCTGGCACAGACTTCTGGGGTAATTGCAGATAAGTTTATTTGTAAGATTTCCAGCAAGACAGGTACCTGTTTTCACAGGTGTGCTTTTTATAGGCTGGATTGATACATGGTCTTGTTACAAAGGGCAAATCAAAAGCAGTGCAGTGATTTGACAGCCCAAAATGTCTTGCAACTTGGGAAGGGGTGAGACAATACTGCGTAAACCTGGGCAAACTGACACGGCTGGGAAGAGACAAGCTTCAGCACAGCTAGAGCCAGATCAGTGGTGTTTCAAACTTCCACCTGTGTGCAGCTGTTAGCTTTGAGATACTTGGAGAAATGAGCCTGAAAAATGAGCCTGTTACTACTCTTCTGCCCTTTACTGGTGTAATGATGGAGCTTAAAAGTGAGGTGATTGATAGCACATTTCACTTGTGAGGTAGCCCCATCACTGCTGCAGTTGAGCAAAATTATTACTTCTGAGCTCTGATGAGATCCTGTCAGTTTTTCAATGTGACTTTCAATTTAAGCCTCAATTGTTGCTTTCCCGTCTCGCTCTTTCTCCTGTTATCCCATCAGCTGTGACTTTCTCTTTTATAAAAATCTGGTGAACACAGCAAATGTGTTCTTAGCCTTAGGATCAGGCAGTGTCTGCATGCACAGAGCCTTTCACACTCGTGTGCGTCGTTTTGCCAAGTTACTGTGGTCTAGCATGAAGTTTTGCAAGCATCTAAATTAGCATGAATCTAACTGTCTGGATGGAGTGCACGTGGGAGACTTCCAGGCTGCCTGCAAGGTTCATGTGTTTTTGATGAAACCAGCGCAGCTGGCTGCAGGTCCCTCTGACAACTCTCACAGTAAAATCAAACCCAAAAGCCCAGAGACTGCTGTAACCAGTGAGAAGAGGGATGTGAGGCAGTACTAACAGCCTGAGTGTTCGTGGATGTGTTGCCTAGTGAAGTTATCAAACTTTTTTGGGGCCATCTGCTTAGTCAGGGCTGCAACAACTTACAGTGTCTATGGGAGAGCTTTTGGTAATTCTTCTTACAGACTTTTTGTCCCTGAAAACTTGCTGAGAAATTCTACAAAGCTAGATCTTACTTCTTCCCCTCTCATTTTGGCCCTCAGGTTTGACTATCATGCTATTTCGGGGTTCAGTATGTGTTAGTCCAGCCTGATACAGCACGTACATTTTTATGCATGTAATCTTGTCCAAGCACTCTTACTGTTTGTTCAGGTTTTTATGACTGGGAATTCCCACCAAAACCAGTTGGCATCTTCATATTATGGCAGTTCACTGGTCAATCAGCTATATGCCATATGAGATTTAAGTAGAAATACACACAGTATCTTTATAATATTCATAAACTTGAAATATTTCAAGAAGTACTTTTACCTTTTTTGGTGGTGGTTGTTCTTTCTTTACTTTAGAGAACATTTTCTTCTTCCCAGCATCTCAGTGCAGTGTTTCTGTGTTAGTATTTCCAGGGCAGCAGGGAATGTTTACATCCAAACAAAATCATTTTTCTTTGATTTTTTTTTTCAACTGTGAACATTTGTAGCCAATAAAATCCTTTCCACTTAACTCTGTCAGTATTTAGCTTAATTCTGTAGGTTCTGTGCAGAGTCTGAAACTCAAATTGCATTTAGTGCAATTTGCACCTTCGTCAGTGGATGCCAGAAATGTCACTCACCACTTAAAATGACAGTCTTAATGATCTAAAGTCAGGAATGGCTGTTTAAAAACAGAAATATGGTTTACATTTGCTTTAGGTATTTCAAGCACCTTCTGCCTCGGTTATGTGGTTCATAGCGTCCATAAATAATGCAGTGTTTGGGATAGACTGATAAGTTTATTTGCATATGAAGGCTTAACCCGTTATTGTGAGTGGCTTGCTCTTCAAAGGCAACCACAGTTTAAGGGCTGGGTGTGCTGGTTGTAAGTGATGGGGCTGTCATCAGTAAGCTGCAAGACAATACGTGTTTTCCTCTATAGATGGGGCAAGGCAGCTCCTTGAAATGTGTAATGCAGACCCAGAATTTTAACCTGCCCTGCTGAGACTGTCCACTCTCCCCTTCGACTTTTTGGCCATTATTTTCCACTGTAGCTCCCCTTCTCCTCTGTTGTTTTTCTTTCCCCGCTCCGTGACAGTCCAGTGTCACTCATGCTGATGCTTGGAAGGAAGGAATACTGCTAGTACCCGCAGATGGTTCCCTACCACATACATCTCTTCCATACAGTGCAAAGCAAAAAGAGGTTTTTGCCCTTAAAGCTGGGGAATGAGGTTTGTACAGCTACTTACCAGAGGTTCTGGGGTTAGAAATGTTTGCAGTCCTGAATTCCTGGCAATGAAATAAAAGTCAGTTCAAGGTTGGGGGTTCTGCTCAGGGAGTACAGGTGTGTGCTGCACTTGGTGTGTCTATGCGGGTAATGAGAAAGAGATTTGAAGCAATAGGCTTCTCAAAGTGATCTGGATTGAGAGAAGCATTTCATTTTCCTTTTTTCTGTGTCATTTTCTTGTCACTTTTCTTTCTCTCTCCCTCACTGGCAGTCTCCCAAGCCAGATGAGTGGCTCTGTTATCAGGTATCCACCAGGAGAACAGTCTATTAAATTGGATTGCTAAAAGAAATGCAAAACTCCTTACACCTCCAAGAACAGAGATTTTCCTGTAGAAGCACAATGCATTTGGTGTTATTGAAGGGAAAAAAATGTGATTTCAGGGGCCCAATCTGTTCTCTGCTTCCCCATTCAGGATAAACAGATTCAGCCGCACCGCTTAATTATGGTATAGGCTGGTGGAAAAGCTATGTGTAGAGTACCTTGAGGAGGTTTAGTGCCAGAAGGCAAATATGCCTTGCAGGCCAATACATGAGCAGTAAAAAGAGCCCTGCCTGCAAGTGGAGGTGAACAG